TATTTACACACACACACGATTTCTACGTGCACACACATCTCTCTATAAATATATACCCTTATATAGATGCCCAGACGCAATGGCAGCAAGGGCCCCTGTGCAAAACACGTCTCTTCGGGCCTTGAGGTAAGAGAGGCAACCTCATAATAGGAGGCAAGAGGCATCTGAAAATATGCACTTTGCTATAGAATAAACCTGGCAGCCAGGAGTGTAGAATATCATTTATTTATAAAGTTTACATGTACAAGTCAGAACACAGCACAGACACCAAGATACGCATGTGATGACATCCGTACTGCTGAGATGCATTAACAGTAAAGCCCTCCGCTTTGCAGAAGGGCATCACGGTTCCCAGGGGAGCTCCACCAGGCAGGGGTTGGAGCTGCCAGGAAACAGGGTCGGGAGCAACGCAGGGCTACCACAGACTGCCCAAAGGCAACTTGAGAACTGTTAAACAAAAGTGGTCTCGTAACTACCCAAAGTTAACAGCGTTCTGTTCTTTTTCTCCCCATCTATCACCATTGAGGCTTGCAGTTACAGGTCCCATTCGACACAGATATCCTTAAAAGGACGGAGAGATTAAGGGAGTTTTTAAGCATCTGCCTGAAGCTGTTTGACATCCAATTTGCTCAGTGCTGATATTCTGCCTTTGGCCTGCACAGGAGTGGCACAACCCTTCAAGTGCAGCCAGCTGACAGGCCTGGTTAAATGTCTGGAAGAAAACTTGCCCAAAAGCCAGGGAGAGAACGCATCCAGGGAAAAGGAACCTAACACAACTTTGCACATGCTCCTGAGCTCTAACAAGGATTTCAAAGGAAACATTAGGACGTTTGACATCATCCTTCATCCACAAGGATTTTCCATGGTCGTTTTTGTCAAGACAAACACGCTTTCCAACACAGACCAAATAGATCAGCATGATAGAACAAATTCAGCTGCTCTCTTCTTTCTTTGAATAACACCCCTTTGGGAGAGCAGTGATTAGACAAAAGGAAACACTGTCTTCTTCAAAGAACCCTCCAAGCCAACCCCTGTCACACGCCAATAACCACTGCTTCCTTTCTGAGCAACTTCAGTCATGACCTAGCCCTAAGCCAGGACGTCAAATTCTGTTTTGCATGCAAGAAATCGAGCAGCAGCGAGCACTGTGTCCTCAAACGGGCTCCGAGCTGCACCCCATGGCAGCGCATGGCGCTGGCGGAGTGAGGCATCCTCCTCTCCTCTGCACAAACCCTGCAGCATTAGCATCTGGAGCCTCAGCTGGGCTGCTCCTACTGTTTCAAGCACCTGCATCAAGAGGAGAAAGACACAGTGACATTACAGACAGGCAAACAAGAACATTCCATGGTGACACCCTTCCTTTACTCTTACTTAGTACATGTCGTTACCTTCCTAAAGCCCTGTTTCACAGATGGGTTGACTGTAGTAGCATTTCTTTTTCCCCATTTATATTGTTGGGATTACTTCTCACCACAATAATTTTTCTTCTTCCTTCAGAGCAGCTATGAGCTATTGCATCACTTGAATTTTCAAGCACCGAACACACTTGTATGGCGTAAGAGCCATTGCATTTGTACACAAGATGAAAAACAGATTTCAGAGCCAGCACTTGCTCCCTCTCCTCCAAAATGAGAGGGAATGCAGGAGGCCAGTGAAAGGTGAAACAGTGGGGGACATCACAGTTCCGTCTTAAGACATTTACCACAACCAGGACTTCTCCTAAACCTTCTTTCCCTCAGGCCTCTACCTCATGGTGGGAGAACACTGAGCTACCAACAACTAAACTAATACAGTTTAACAAAGTTAAATTGTGTGACATAGCTACTTCCATACTGTTAAACTTAGCCCCTACAAAACTCCCAACTAGCAAGAGCATTCATCAATGGATTCACTTGAAAGACAACAGAAGGCTGAAAAGTAGAAAATAAATTTTACCAGTTATTAGCAGGTGTAATCCCAATCTCTGTAAGGTTAGTGCTCAACTCTGGGGAAGGCGGCTTCCGATGCATCCGATATCAAAGTCCCTGACAGCTGCAAATTGGGTAGGAAGAAAAGGGAGAGGGTCAGGTCCATGGTAGTAACAGAGACATCTATCAGTAATTTCCTTCTGGGCACCTTGGCGAGGTCAGCCAAGGTTCTTTCATGAAACTGGACTTCAAAATATATATTTTTTGTTCAACACAAGCTGACAAATCTCAGCTGCACGTAATCATACTGGCAATTTAGAGAATTATACACCTCAAACAACATCTTGATGTTACAGAGCAGCTAATTTCTGAGAGGTGCAATACTTCCTTCTCTCCTTATCCCCATCTCCAATTCTTTCTCTCCCTACTGCACTTGCCCTCTCAACATCTCTCTAATGCAACCTGGACAGTTCTTCTCAAAATTTCCAGCCCTCCATGTCTCCCTTTCCAAATCTGGAAAATCAGGTTCTCTTCCACCTTGATTCAGCCTCCTGAAATAACAAGAACTTCTGGGGTCTGTCTTCTCAGTGAGCATCTTGCATTTGGCTTGTCCCAGAGAGACAAACACATTCCTACCCTGGATGAGTATCATCCAGGACCCTTCTCGCCTTCTGAGTTGAAAGGTTCCAGGCCTTTCAACTGCTTTTCCACAGAGGGCACAGGAGAACCCTATGTAAGTCCTGCTCGTGTTAGGAGGCACTTGGAAACTTGTGCAGCACACTACTCAAACATAGTTTAAAGTCCTGAATGAAACGGACAAGAAGTAGCACAAAATATTGTGTTGTTACCTGCTGTGAAGACAGATTTGGGTTATGGAGGTCAATGGCAGCAAGGGAGGGGATACGGGACTCCGAAACGGTTTTGTTCTCCTTTTTGTGCAGTCTGGGATTCCACGCTACAAAATGCAACCAAAGCAGACAATGTTAAAGAAGTAAATGCTGACTGGTGTAATGCACACCGTTTCTTGGGATTTGCTTAGGATCTGGGCTTGATTTAAAGGACATCAAAGCTCATACCTTCCACTGCTCTCAGCTCAGGGAGATGATTTAGCTCTGGCAAACGCACGTCAGTCTTGGAGAATTCCCATTTCTTCTTATTTGCTGGAAGGATTGTTTTTTCATTAGAAACCTGCAATCAGGTGAATGATAAAATACCAGTCACATACAGATAGAAAAAAAAAGGTACCGTGAGGCTTTAATCTTCAAAGTATATAAGCATAGCAAGATACTACTTTAGCTAGAACTTTCACCAGAACAAGAGTATAAAAGACTCTCTAAACAGATTTAAAGGAATTCATTCTGATCAAAGGTAATCTATACATTAAAAACAAAACTGCCTCAAAACAAACAAACAAACAGAAACTCCCAAAAAACACCCTGGCCACACACACAAAAAAACAAAACAGACACTTAAATGAGACTGCTTTTAAAGATACAAAATATAGCTGGAGGATTGCTTAGCTTAGCTCTCTTTAGAAAGGCAAACATTCCTACGAGCATAGAAGAAATATTGTCTAGGTAATAAGTGCAGTCCAGAGCTTTACAGCTCACTTATTTTCACAAACAATTTGACTGTTTTTATGACTTGAGTAAATAGGGCCCCACCTACACTAAATACCTACCCTAGGAAAAGATCATGGATGAAAGAACTGTAGAAAAAAAAGGGCAGAGAAACGTCCTTCTAGTTGGAATTTAAGGGGAAGGCTGCAACAGGAGGAGCTCTTGACAGTAAAGCAAATGCTTAAGTTAAGAATTTATTTTTGCTTTGCCAAGTGGGGAAGAAAGATAACTTACCGATGTTAAGCTTACACTGTAATGGCCTGCTGGAGAATGTTTTCCTCGCTTTAGAAATGGGTTCAAGTATGTTTTACTCTTTTCCTCAACTCTGTAATCAAAAGAGTCCCCATTGCATTATACTAACTTGGGTAATATAAATATACTTATATAAATACAAAAATTAGAAAGAAAAAAAATGAAAAAAAACAACAAATGAACTTGAGAGATGCAAACATCTCTGTCTTTAAATACTGAAGAGAGGAGCCCACAAGCAGAATATTCTCCGTTAGCCCAGTTAACAGAGAAGTTTGAGTCTCAAAGGATAGGACACAATTCAAAGCAGCCACTACCAGAGCAGCTGGGGAAATGTTACCATCTGGGAGTGCTCTGCCAAAACGAGAAACACAAAGAGTCTTTGGCTGCACGGATATTAAGGGCTGCTTGAGGTGAAGCTGGGTTTTTTGACTCAAAAGGTGCTCCTAGCCACACCCTGTCCCAAATCCCCTTCTTGCCCTCCCACATCATCACTCTGCATCTTTCTCAGCACATCACAGTTTTTGGGCAACAGGAAAGATGGACACTGCATCTCGTGGCTCAGCTCCTATACCTATAGCTACGGTTCGCAGGCATGGGCCCCATCCCAGCAGTCATCCTCACACCGGCAGTTGTGGCAGAAAGATTCTGGTTGATGGGAGGAATGACTATGCCTGCGTTCTTGGCATAGTCCAAGCTGCTGCTGGAATCCTTCAGGCTGGTTTGAGGAGCTATTTTAAAAGGGTTGATTGCACTGTCGTAGAAGGAGCTCAGGTTGGAAGGTCGCTCTGCCTTCTCCACATCTGCTTTGGAGCGCTTCTCCTTGAACAGCTTTGCCTCTCTGCTCCTTGGCTCAATGTTGAAATCCTGTTTGGAAAAATAAGCACAATGCAGGAACAGGGGAGATAAATATATAAATAAATAAAACAAGAGCCTAAACCTGCATGATTCTGCAAGAATCGATGGAGATTAAAACTGTTTTAAGCAAAAGCTGTTTTCCATCAAGTAGCAGGAGGCTTGTCAGGGTTCTGGTACCTTCTGGAAATAAGTCACCTCACAGTGGGGTAAGGAAGTGATAGAACAGCAGCCATTTCCTGTCATTTCCGAAGAAATGAAATGAGAACAGAGCCATGCCACCTCAAAGTCACTCTGAAGCCTCTAGTCATAGATGACTCAGAGAAAAATATGCAGCTTGGGAAACAGGGCTTTAACACAGGTGAACAGCCTCAGAAAATCATGTTTTGCTTATTCGGCTGACTTGCACTTTTTAATTGATTCTTCCTCCAGCTCTTTTTTTTTCTTGTAAAATGTTTTGTAAAATGTAAAATTTTGCATACAATTTAACTGCAGCACATACCTGCAGGGCATTTTTAAGAGATGAAAGATACAGTCACAGAAAAGAAAGATGGACTAACCTTGATAGCAAGCATTTTTCTTTCTTCTCCCAAACAATCATCTTTGTCCTTTTTACTAATTTTTGATTGCTTTTGTAATTGATGGTCTCTGGCATCCTTCTGAATCTTTAATTTAAGCTCCTGAGCAAATCTATACTCCATATGGAAAAGGAAAATGAAAGGATCCATTAATCAAAAATCATTTGGTGTTCAGCCCAAGCTGCTGTTACAGCTTTTGAAGTAATGAAATAAACTAAGCCTTTTAAAGGAGAAAATCAAACAAGTGGAACATATCCATTAAAAGCTCATTTTAGTTACAAAACCAAGACATTTCAGCAACTTTCAGCCCTGCAAATCCACCATGGTTTCTACAAGTGCCATTTCTTAATTTCCTTCTCCTATTAGCCCGTTTTGAGCAAGAAACAAGCTGTTTTACCTTTCGGCAAATCCATCCTTGTTAAAGAAATCACACTGCAAGAGTTCAGCACAGGATGGCCTTTTGTCTGGGTCAATCTGCAAACATTTCTGGCAAATACATCAGAAACAAAACAAAGGTTTCGATATTTCCAAATGAAGTTGAGAAATAAGCTGCAAAACTCCCAGTTCTAGGGCCTATAACACTGAGATGAGATGTGGCAACTGACCTCCAGAGAAAAAGTTTAATTACTTGCTGTTGCACCCATTTTAATCATTAATGCTTACTAAGACTCCTTCTATAGGGAATACCTATCATGCAAATAGAACACTCTCAGTAAATCTTCTTTATTTTCTGTTACATTTGCTTTGTTCCTTTGGCACTTCAAATACTGCCAATTTGATTTAGTTTATTTCAGTTGCTCAACACACTTGTGCTCCAGAATAGCATGGAAAAGCACAAAAACATGTGCTGGAAGGAGTCTTCAAAACTAATTATGAAGCAGGCATCCTAACTCCCACATTGGCACACAGATGCAAAAACCAAGGTTAAGGCATGTTTGGCCATGGCCACACATAGACCTATCTGCTCACATCGCTTCCATGAGTAGGTGGAGAGAGGGTTGACAGAAAATGTTGCATGAATGCAGCTATGCTAGCCAGGGAAAAGCAAGTAAAAAGGAAAAAAAAAATCCCAAAAGAACAGACCTTTGCTAGATCTAGCACTGCAGCAGAAAGCTTGGGATATCGTTTGTCCAGAGGTTTGATGTCCTTCACTTCAGGCAGCCTCACACCAGCAAAGAGGGGATTTTTATGGAACAGCTCTTGGTGCCTTGGAATTAAATTGCCTGGAATCACAGTTAACAGAGCAAGTAGGTGGAAGAAACTCAGAACAACCCTGCTGAATATTTGAGAGAGGCTGAAACAGTGGCTGACACAGTGAGCCAGCCCTGCAGTAAGGAATATATTCTGGGTCTTCATTGTTCCACATGTGCACTCTGAATTCATGCTCTACTTACAAGCTTCTGGTTCTCCCTTGGCAAAAGGAGCTAAAAATTCACACCCTCAGAAACTGCTCAGCACCCACTGGGGCCTTTCTCCCCACATTCTCCCCCTTAGTCAAAAGGTATCTGATACCTTAGCTTGTGGCCAGGCCTTCAGAGCCTGGTGGGGTGTTCTTACCCAGGCACGTGGTGATATGATAGAGCTGGTCGATGTCAGAGTCTCCAGGGAACAAGGGCTCTCCTGTCAGCATTTCTGTCACCAGGCAGCCAATAGCCCATATGTCCACAGCTCTGGAAGAAAAACATTCCAGTTCAGAGGTGCTGGCAAACCCAGATCAGCACAGCTTTGAGCTAAGCCAGACCAGTAAGAGAATCCCACTGATCCCACAGGTTCCATTCAAACAGGAAAAATCCCATTCATCCCTCATAAGTTCATCTCTACAAGGACTGCTATGCACAGGAGAAGTCTATCGTAGTCTATTCCAATAGTAATTAACATTGGCAGCCAGACAACTGTTATA